GATATTTGCATCCCGATTCACGTGTCGCATTTTGTGTACGGTAAAAGAAGCGAAAACATATCGAAAGTGCGTGGGAATACACAATAGAGTACATAATCTATGTGTATCTACGCGTTCAACGATTTGACCTTATCTTTTATTTTTATTGCAAGAATTTTTTGAAAAGTACAAAACCGAGCCAATCCAAAACTTGTTCAAACAATATTTAAATTTATTTAAAAATTTGTTATCAATAGCATAATATTAAATATTAAAAAATACTTGAGTATTTAAAAAAACGTTTTTATTTTCTCGCAATTTTATTCCTACCAACTACAAATTAGATGGAAATTAAATTATTAACATAGATTCAGATTAATTTAGCTACTACGCATGTTACGTAAATACGATCATGAATGAAAATGAATAAATTACTTCAGGTAGGTAGTAAATATTGACTAGGTGATGTGAAATGACAAGAGGAAATTCATGACGGAAAATGCATCGGAGATGTTCGATCGAGAGTTGACGGAGGAAGGGGTGAAATAAATGTGTAGGCTGCAGCTAAATGGGAGCGGAGACATCTGCCTTAATATAATGGAATCTCGAGTAAGGGCACGAAAGGAACCAGAGCGCCGGAACGACGTGACGGTTGCGAGCATCGCGCGCGAACGCGGCGGGAGGAGTAGATTTTATTTCAATGTAGAAGTCGTGCTCTGCACACGACACCGGTAGAAGCAGCGATAGGAGAGCGGGAAGACTGTGGTTGACCTTGACCCGCGGCGGAGAGGTTCAAACCAGGAGGTGAACCAACCGGCGCCTTCGCGGAAAAGTTGGGCGCGCCCGCGCGCGTCAGGATAGGTGGGAACCCTCGTCGTGTTTACGTGGACTCGCCCTCTTCTACGCGATATGCATACACGTGCTGCACCTTGCTCATCGCCCCCCTTGCCATGCGTCGTATTGACATCGTATAGTGGGACGACCGAAATCTTAATCTTTGAAAATCTTCTCTCCGGAAGAGACATTCAAATACATTTACACACACACACACACACACACACACACACACAAATTTTATATATATATTATATATGTAATTTCTATAAAATTTGCGCTCGTCCAAGAAATACTGAATAACGAAGCACTTTAAATAATTAACCAATTTTTGAATCCGATGGTATCTTCGACCCTACGTCACAAGCCATGTTCATATATTTAGAAATCTTCAAAGGGAATGATTTTATCCTCGAACATTTTTTTTCTCAATAAAAACAGATGTAATATAATAACGAATGAAGTAAACATAATGGAATTAATATGCTTGATGATGAATTAATCGTATTACATTAGAGAATTCCGATATAAAAAAACGATTCATTCCCGGTAGAGTTAATTGAGGTAATTTGACGGTATTCTTTCTTAACAAAAGATTAATCTGATATAATGCTAAATCATTTTAATTTACTCCACAGGATGGAGTAAATTAACATGAATTATTTGATAACACAAGGTTCACTTTTTCCTCAAAAAGAGACTGTATTAAAAAAATTAAATTAATTTAATTAATTAAATCTAGTCGCAATTATTTTTACTCTTTTTCGGAACGTTTGTCGGCCAAGCATGATGCACATTCCAGTACGGTATACATAAACTGCGTTCGTTTGCGATAAACGTCCCGACATCCGGTCCATTCATGATAGGAGATTCCTCTGCCGCGACTCCGCCGTGCCGGTTCGATTTCGTGTCGAAATAGCGCCAGCACTTCACTTATCTTCGTTGCAAAAGGCGAGAAGAGACGGAGAACATTCGAAAGAGAATGAGAAAGAGGGAGCGTGGCCGGTAGTGGCGAATAAGAATTTTATCGTATTTCATTCTGCCTGATGTTTCTCGGCGCTTTATATAGACCCTTGAACGATCATGCCACAGATTTTTTCAGGTGCTAGACTGATCCATCTTCAGAAAATTGTAACGAATAATAAGAGGCATGTATTTTCTTGGAAGACAGATGTATCTCGAGATATATTTTTATATGAGGCAGAATAAAAAGATTAAATCGACGATGGTCCAGAGGAAGAGGCGAGAAAGACTTATAGTGACTCATTAAAGATACATTTGAACTGTAAAGCATTAAATCCGATTGGGTAACCTGTAGTGCTTGATAAATATCGAGTCGACTGATTCGCGTCGAGCAATCGGATGTGCTATTTTCGTGCGCGCATAATGTACGCACGCGTGTTCGACATGACGTGGCCGTGTCAGAGCATTTCCAGTTTCTGAATTCCGATGCCTCCCGCGGAAGATTTCGGTGATCAGATTCGGTGATCAATGGGAATGCTGCGATAGCACTGCTTATGGAACAAACTCATCAGACGAATGATATTACGCTGCGAAGCCTGCAAGTGTTTGCATTTATTTTACTTACAAAAAGAGAACACAGTGAACCCTTCACAGAGTTTGATCTCTTTCAGCATAATGAATGTATACCGAAAATAAATTGTATCGTATTCCAACGTTTTGTTGAATTTACTTTGTAAATGGTATTTTTTAATGAAAGAATCCCGCAGTAATTATAGAAAATTGGATCCTAATGAAATGAATTAGTTTTTACATATAATGTAACTTATAGTGTGGCGAACAAAAGATATCAGTAATGAATAATTTTTAAGTAGTGTTGTATCAAAGGTATAAAACTTGTGCTCATGTACAGAGCAGTTTTAATATACTATAGCTTAAAAACTATCCATTATTAAGCCTTGTGTCACTATTAGTCATATTATAAATTTATTACATGTGAAAACTAACTTATTTTATTTAAGATCCAATTTTCTATACAATTAGTGCGAGGTCCTTTTATACATAAAAAAAATATAAAACCCATTCGACAAAACACTCAAACATGGCATAATTTATTTTCGATATAGATTCATCATACACTAAAAAAAGAGCTGATTATATCAAATATTGAGTGAAATAATTTCAATCAAATATTCAAGTAATATAACTAAACATCATTTTACCTTCACAAATATTTAGTAAATATTACCAACGGTAATACTTACTAAATATTTGTAAAGTTAAAATTATGTTTAGTTATATTACCTAAACATTTTGGTTGAAATATTTCACTCGGTTGGTGGTTAACTAGACTCTTTTTTCAATGTACTGAAGGAGATTAAAATCCATAAAGAGTCCACTGTGCCCTCTTCTTTGTTATTAAAATTAATTAAATATTTGTTCGCTATTTTACTTAAGTCTCGATTGTCTCTTCCAAAAATATAAAAGAATCGCGAGAATCGTTTTCAAGTTTACGTGCGAGTTTTGAAATATTTTGTTGCCATAAGATGAATAACGGCAAAACTCTGATGCGCAAAGAGTTACTGGGTAAGATTTTCCATTTGGTTTACTCGCAATCTTTTCACAACACGTTGAGACGCAGCATCTGCCGCGACTGTAACGAGAATAAGTTTATCCCATGAGAAAAACGGCAGATCTGAGAACGCAATATCATGTTTAATTAATATGCGGTAATATTTTATGTTACGCGAATGTGCGACACTGCGATCTCTTATAGTAGATAGCACATGAATACTTTATAATGTTTCACCAGCGATGATCGATCGGTTGAACAATAGTCCTACTTTCTCACATCGGAGTGTTTAATAGACACTGTTTAATAGCATATCGTTTATTCGTAACTGAAGCGACTACAGAAAATTGCCTCTAACGATATTTCGCGACAAGTAAAATGAATTCGGCAAATTAGATTTCAACAGCGGAGAAATTATGACTGAGTTGGTTAATGACATTTAAGATGTATTAAATTTTGCGATGTTCCTTGCGATAGCGGGTGAAATTCAAGAATGAGGAGCTGCATCGTGCAAGAGGGAGATCTCCCCAGGAAGAAAAAAAGAAGCGAATAAACAGGTCGCAATAAGGATTAGAAGAAGTAAAACTCTATCGAAGGTTACATTGATTTTCATGAAAATTGCAATCGTCGTATCATCAATCCTGATTCTCTTTGAAAAAAACTCCCTTCGCAATCAATATCGATTTAGCGGTATTACCCATTGCGATTATGTTTCTCTCCATTTGCAACAATAAAAATCAAATACCTTGCCAGGATTGATTGGTTCACCGTAGAAATGATTCCTTAGACGCAATCGATTTTATATAATATAGTGTTTTAAAAATAAAACCTCATTATAATAGTCCGCTCGACAATGACATCTTTGTAAGTAGAGGAATTTGAAAGACGAAGAAGAAAACCGCTCCCTAAATACTGCAATTTTTGTAGACATACCACAATTACGACCATTAATCTTAGCGCAACTAAATATCTCGCTGAGATAATGCGAAATCGACGACGCGTTCTGCCACATCCGTTTCTTGTTTTGTTTATTTACCGCATTCCCAAGTCAGCCTCGCGCGGAGCTTTATTAAAAGAACTCAGTGATTTATTTACTGACGATGTCTTGCTTCATAGGCCAACCTCTGGAACACGCTAGGAGGATTTCCGACGCATTTTTAATGTCTAATAAGATATTTCATTCGTGAATAAAATCGCCCATTTATTAACATTTAATGCGAAATCAATAAAACTGAACTTTGTGCGATTGCACAACCAAATAAAAATATATTGGTATTTACGCACACGGTATTAATCGTTATTACAAATCGATACAAGCAAACCGTATCGCAAAGATTTTTTATCAGTCAGTACACTTTTGGAAATTAATTGTTTTAATTTTGAAAACGTATCCCATTTATTTTAAAAATAGGAAAATATTAACAAATAAAAAAATTATAAATCCGAAATGTGTTTTTCTCAGTTATATTTTTAGAAATATTTTTTATATATGGAAATATAAAAAATATATTTTCAACTTCAAGATGAAGAAGAGCTCACAGTTTGTTTATCTAGTTCATATAAGATTTTTTCAGAGACGTCCTGTATTCAACGATTTATGGGAAAAAATCACATGATTTGTTGATTAAACATGTCAAATAGATTTGGGGCTTACCACTGTCGGCGTAAGTCTCGGAACCATAACCGTCCTGCAGACCGCTGGACCACGTGCCCTCGTATCTCGCAGTGGAGGTAGTAGACTGCCGGACCCCGTAACGACCTTTGAATCCCTGAGTCCATTCTCCCCGGTAAAGCCAACGGCCACGGGTCTCCATACCCAGGCCGTGTCTCTTGCCGTTCTGCCATTGTCCTTCGTAGGCTGACCCGCTGAAATGCAATTTGTGGAATTTAATCTTCTAAAACAATTCGTCTCTTCCTTCAAGTAGGACTTAAAAAGTATTTTGAAATTATAGAGATAATTTCATCACGTTTTCCGCAGCTCTCAGCTGTTCGCTCGCAAAAATATCCTTAAAAGTTACGCTTCAAGGATCACGTCGCTATTTATATTTACTATCATTTATAGCCATTCATGTTTGCTGAAAACTCGTCTAATTAACCAATCCAATAATTACTCGTCTAATTAACCAATCCAATAATTACCGACTGTCGTCGATGACGATGACAACGTTGCGTCCACATTGTTGGATACACAGAATGGAGTGGCAATGAGAGCTTGACATCTCGTGCTAATGTAGAAAGTGATTACGCCGCCTACGATCCTTCTTTTAAGATATTTTTATGAAAGTTATAATTATCGAAGGAGGGAGACGGAGCTAATCGAGCGAACGTTCTTTCAAGTGCGATTAAAGCTTTTGCGCTAAACTTATTTCTGTTATTACTTTTTATCGCAGAAAATCTTTCTAAATTCAGCATCAAATATAATTTAATTATTCTCTTTTAAAATGTCAAGAAAGTTTCAAGAACATCTATAGTAAATCTTTTGAAAGAGAATGATTAATCCTACCCGAGCGATATTCAAGTCCTTGCGAATAACGATTACATAAACATGAAAGCTGCATGTGGATGCGAAAACTGTTGCGGAAATATTCTATAAGTGTCGCGTATTGCGTAAATACTTGTGTTTAACGATGATCTGTCGCGTGATAAAAATTTATATCATTCTACCGCGGTATGATTAATTACGTTATAAATTCTGACAATGCAATAGTAATTTGTACATATTCTGTAATTGTAAGTAATGTTTGTATTATATTTTTAGAACATTTGAGAATGAATAAAAAGAACGTTTCACCTCTTAAAATGTTTTGATATAATTAACAATTAAATATGCAATAAATAATTTTGGTAAAGGCGGTCTCTCGCGATTCTCGACAATGCAAGTTCTTCACTTATCGCGAAACGGAAGTAAACGACGATAGTGAAATTCTAGACACGTGGGGTGAACCATCCCTCGAACTATAGTGGATCAGCAACACGTGCTCGATCTGCGAAACGGTTCGTCTTCGAGTATCATCATGATCGAAAATGAAGTCGTCGGAAAATGTTGCTAGTTAAAGATGGACCTTGTTCCAGTTTACGCGGAAATGAAACGGCAAATTCTCAGCTTAGATACGTGATCGGGAAGAAAAGAGAATGTCATCGTTTCGGTTCTATCTCATTTTCTCTCTTTTTTACGTTAGTTATTCCAGAAACCTGTAAGAAATGAACCTACATTCAAGCAGATCTGTCTCTGAAAATGATTTTGAAAAAATCACAACGTAACGCAACAACAAATTAAAATTTATATCGCTCATAATACTGTATAATAATACTGTATAACAATATGTATATTAAATAATATACCTTCAAGTATGAATATATATTTAAAACGTTCATGTTTAATCTCGAGCACAATTTAATAGCTTTTTGCGAATATAAATGAAATCGTTACACAGCATTTTACTGTTATTATATCTCCATTACTTAATAATATCTTCTTACTTAATAATATTTCCATTGTGTGCGTGATCTAGAAACTCTAATTACGATCGTTAAAGTCTTTCTGGGTTTTCGTATCGCGTGCACGTAGATATAATTTTTTTCTAATTGTTGTACACCTCGTTTTATATATTCTCTCATAAAACTAATCGTCGAGAAACAAACAAGGTGGCTCTGCAATACTTTCATTTTACAGAGTGTTTATAAATCGGTGTTTGTATATAAAAATAGTATATAAATAATAATTTTATTTTTCAATTAATTTCGAGCAGAGAAATCCAAAAATAGGATCAATCGATTAAGAATACTAGTTCTGCCATTTTTTTATTCAATTTCATGGAAGAAAACGATCTCAAATATTTTTCGCTGATGATGTCGTCGTTCGTCGTCGAAAACGTTTAACGATTTTCGATTTTACATTTTAATTTAGGTTTCGAAGAATCTGAGCGCTCATTTATATCTTGCGTTCTTTTACCGAAACCGGAATTGTACACTCTATGGGCGAAAACTCTATTGAATAACTTCCATGTACTTGTTGATAAATTAATTGATTGCTTCAAAAAAATTAAAAAAGACTTTCGTCTTCAATATGCACGGATGCGGATATCAATCATCACCATCCCCAAAAATTTTGACGGCGATTTTCCACGACGACCCTGAACTAGGTCCTGACGACTCGAATCCCGGTGACCTGCTCCGGTTGTCCTTGCGCACGGTGACCCAGTTTTGCAGGAATCGAGAGATTCCCTCCCAGGTATATACCTAGATACGTGTCAAGGTCCGCTGTTTGCACATCACGCGCTACACGCGACGCCAGGAGTCTCGTGAATTCGATTCGGGGATTCGCGAAAATCGTCAATGAAACATCCAATAGGAGAATTCGCCGAGGATCTCACCGGGGAATTTTCTACAACTACTGAATCTGAGCCTCACAAATAGCGTTTGGTCGAATCTTACGTTACTTTTGCGGCGTGTAATGTTTAGTAGTCGTTTGCCCTGCTAAGCGGCATTATTAACGTGAAACAGTCACAGTAGCGGTAATGTAATACCGGATAATCAGCCTGAAACCATATACTCGTTACGGTGCGAACGAGCTCAGCGTTAATCCTTCATGAGCCCAGAGGAGTGGCGGTCGTTGTGAAAATCCCGAGAGTGCACCAACGTGAAGAGAATATAAGATTAATTCGTTCTACGAAACGCGCGCAACCGGACGAGCATCATAGATTACGTATATCACGGGAATTAGCAATTTATCGTAATCCTTCGTAATTTCGTGTGCCGTGTAAACTGCATAATTAACAAATGCGCATTGTGAAATATGTCAAGCGCCAATAATCGAGTACAATCTGCAGCCTAACGAAGTGCTTCACGTGCGAACTAACGAGTAGTCGATATCAACGATAATCGCTCACCTAGGCCAGGTGTAGACGCCGGATACTTCGAAGCCGAAATGCCAGCTGCCAGAATAGGCGCCTTGACCTTTGGGCCCGGTGCACACGCCATGGCCATGGGCCTTTCCATCTTCCCAGCCGCCGCAGTAGGTTCCACCGTCGTCAAAGTCGAATCTGCCCCCGTTAACTTGCGCCCGATTTGCGGTGGTACCGGTCGCGCCAGGTTGCGCCGGACTTATGCCACCTGTTTGTGGCAATTGGGCGCCCCCCGCCACCCCATTCGGCGCCCCGGACGGTTGCTGGCCAGAGTGCGGTTGTTGCTGCATCTCTTGTAGTTACCGCAGGCACTGTCGTTCGTTTTCCTCGTTCTCCTCTTCCGCCTTCTTCTTCTACTACTACTCTTCAACTCCCTCGTTATCCTCGTCTTCGTCTTCGTCGTGATCGTTATCGTCGTCGTGGTCGTACTTGTGCTTGCTCATTAGTAATATCTGCCTTGCCCTGGACGTTGCTCCATTCTCCGCCACCTTCTCCTTCGACGTCGTCTTCTTCGCCGCCCTCGCCGTCGCCTTCTCACGTCCGCCTCCACCAGATCTCTACAATAGCATCGAAGAATCGAGCGTTGATCCGCCGTAAGGAATACAAATATATCATCGACGTCGTTGCGAGACGTGGCGGGACACGAACGGTACACGGTGGCGGAGCTGTTGTCCTAGTGAAAGATTAGGTTTGAACCCCCCCCCCCCCCCGCGCATTGGACCGTGCTCGAATCCTCAAGGCATGCCTGTCATCGCAACGCAGTCCGCGTCAGAGAAGCCGGACGTGAGAAAAGAATCAGCGAGTTTCGCGCCGGGGCCCCAGATTTAATTTTAGTACAACTTCGAAGAACCGAACGTGCGAGAGCGCGCGAACGTGACGAGCGCGGATATACGTCTCTCGATCTCGAACGCGGAACGTTACACGGTTCTCTCTCTCTTTCTCTCTCTCTCTCTCTCTCTCTCTCTCTCTTTCTCTCTTTCTTTTCCGGTGTCGGGTAATCGAGAGAGCCCGAGAGAACCGCGGCCTTGACAAGCTTCAATTTCGCGAATCGATATGCCGAGTGCGAGACTTCCTTCTCGAGCACGTCCTAGCTTTTCTCTCTTATCCTCATCTTTGACCTCCCCCTAAAATCACCACCATAAAATAAAACATCTCGGACTACCTCATCGTACTATCACCCTGGTCGATCTACCTCTCACTCACACGCACATGTACATACACGTGTCGCCGCAGCTGCCCGTGATCATGGACCGATGGAATCGGGACTTGACGCACATTCAGCACCATTCACACGGCACTCCGGAACTCCTGGCACTATGGTGCCAGGTAATCACTATAAGATACCTAGTATTTGCAAGAGACCCGGAGACCGCGCGCGCGATGTTACCAGGTTTCTCTTCGAAATTGTTGAAACTAGACAACGAGTCCGTCGGAGTTGCGGTTTCACTGTCCGCCTGACGCCGTTACGCAACGCTTCTATAAGCATCCGTGATCCGCTCGGAATGTGCTCTCTCTCTCTCTCTCTCTCTCACTCTCTCTCTCTCTCTCTCTCTCACTCACTCTCCCCTCCTTTCTTACTCGCTCTCTCCTTCTTTCTCTCTCTCTCTCTCTCTCTCTCTCTCTCTCTCTTTCTCCTTATCTTCGTCCCATCCACCTCTTCTCTCACTCGAGCTTTCCGTTTCTCGACAACTTCTTCGCACGAAAGCTCCTCTCTTCCAATCTGACGCTTTCTTCGGGAAACGAAGACCCGATCGGGTTCTCTCTGATGAGTCACCCGCGAGGAGATCTACCTACGGTGGAACGGTCGATGACTAAGATCCACGGGACTGGACCCACGATGAAGCCTCGGCGGACACTGAGTCTATCTCGAGACGGGTTGCGAGGTGGAAGTAAGACGAAGAGGAAAATGTGCAGAGCGGAGTCGAACTCTCAGTACACATGTATATGCACACGCATACGCATCACGTAGGCATCCGCATATACAGACAGGTACACGCACGTGGACACACGCGCGCGCGCGCGCGCGAGCGCGCTTTCTTCACGACGGCGGACGATGTGGTTCTAGCCCGGTGCGCAACATCGGTAGCAACGGCACGAACATCAGCATCATCGTCAGCATCCGTACGGGCACAGGCTTGGTTGCGCCCGCCGGTGCGCCGGTCCGTTCGTTCGCTCTAGCGTGGCTAGAGCGGTGCCGCGCGCGCCTCAAGCTCTAGCCTCGAGTTCGACTAGCTGACTAGGAGCTTCTATTTTTACCATGGGGTAGCGAATTGTTCCCCACACGAGACGACTGCGGCTGTGGCTGCACGAGGCGGCAGCTCCGTCGACTCGAGTCGTTCGCCAACGCGACCGGGTTCGGATCATTTATAAATAGTTGAAGTTCTCGCACCGCCACGGAAAATCATCGCGGAACGCAGGTCGCGGTGAGAGTAGCTCGAGATGCTGCACAACTATCGCCGGCCGGTCTTCGGTCTCCGGGTTACCTCCGACACCGTTCGACGTGCGAGGGAAGAATGACATTTTCAGGGTCATTCACGTCATAGACCATGTGTTCTATTCGGAAGATGTGCTTCCTTTAGGCGAGCGAGGGAAGACCCGATTTGTCGGAGTATCGAAATTTCGGAAGAATCTCTTTTCCATGAAATGTAAGCGTGTGAAATCGTGCGAGCATGTGTGTCAGGATTGATAGAATTAACGAGATAACGATGATTTCATCGCGAGCATGGCGAAGAAGCCGGTCCATGTCCCTGTAGTGTAATTTAGGGACAGAACGCGTTGGTGGTGTGTTCGATCGGCCGGGAAAAAAGGAAAATAGAGAGGGGTACAACGGCGCACGCGGCCGCGCAAATGTGTGTCTATAGACTGCGGCCTCTGTAGGGCTGCATTTTTAATGGAGCGCATGTAGCGGCGCGATATCGGTCAGTTACTCCCCCGCGAGAACGTGAGATAAGAACTAGGTAGACTCCGTGGCCTCGGAGGGGGCCCGGAGAGGAGGGTACACACGATGAAAACTCAGGCGAGTCAGAGTCGATGATCCGTACAAGTCTGACGTTACCGCGGGGTTCATTACGGTCTATTGACGGCAAACGAACGGCTGGGAGGAGGCGGGGGACGCGCGCCATTATTTATCGACGCGTGCCATTCTTTTTTATAACATAAATCAATTAATCGATGTGTCCTATTAATAATGACGGTAACGAAAAGTGACGGCCGAGCTGCGCTTGTTGGTTGCGCGGTGAGGAAAGAAAGAATCCTCCCCTCTCCCCCCCCCCTCTCTCTCTCTCTCTCTCTGAAAGCTTTTGCCCCTCTAAAAGAGAGGGTTACGACAAGTAATCCCGAGGAAAATGACGCTGCTGCGATCTGACTATCGTACTTTACGCGGATCTGTTACTCGAAAAGGCAACGAAAACTGTGCCAGCGAAGATAATCTCGAGGCGAATGGCACATCCTGTCTGTTTATTGCAGTAGCAGCATATGGCGACACGGCCGAATCGCCGACAGACGAATACAATAAAGAGAGCACGAGAGTACAAGCATTATCGTTACAACGAAATATGTAACATGTCGAAACAGTTACACATCTTTCTCTAAAGGTCTGTTTTTTATTCCTGTAACTAGACTGCACTAGAACTTTCGTTCACGCTTTCGCAAATATCAAACATATGTATATCTATTTCACTTTAAGTTCCAAAAGTGTATATTAGTAAGCTACAGAAAACAGATCTTAAATCGCGAGAAATTCTAAATTATTTTCTACCATGACAACGCTATTATTTAATCGTATTATTTAATCGCGCTATAAAACGATGAAAAAAGCTTTTTCTTGATTTAATAAACGACATAAATCTTGATCTCTTTCTCTGTTTCCGCCTACACGTTATTTAAGAAATCGTGTCTCTCCGGCGAATCTTTGCCTCGCAAATATACATATTAAGAGACGAGACTTCCGCATCGAAGAATCCCGTCGAAATAGAGCAGACCAGCTTGAAACGGGAGCATGTTCCAGATTTGATTAGCTTCCCGTCGAGCAAGCGAGAAATCGGATCCCCAATTAAAAGTTTAACGTTTGCCTCCTTTCGCACGTGTACCCTTCCTCACCTAGACGCAATTTCCCAGGAAATTTCATGAAGAGAAATACAGACGGAGCCAGTTGATGAAAAAAAAGTAATAATAAACTAGCAACGATCTCTTTCTGAAAATCATTATATATTGATAACTATACCTCTCAGGATGGTCCCACAGGCGACAATATATTTGAATTCACGAAAGATTTAAATCAAACCTCTCCCAACAAAACACCAATACCTTCACGGAATGCATTCCTTCAAATATCATTGAACACTTGCTCACCAATTTAATAATAATCAACTCGTCCTCATAGATGATACCACATACATCCACGATATATGCAATAAATTCACTTTCATCACCAACACTCCCACGAAAAAGCGAGTTGTAATGTGAAGGTGGAATAGTCGGCTTGCACGGATAGAGTCGATTCGCGCAGATATCGCGATTGGTGACGATCGCTCATTCGCAAAGATCGCTCTCGCGAAAATTTGCACGCGGTGAATAAGACGCATATGACCGCACCAGTGCAGACTGCAGCCTTAGGTTCGAGCACACTTCCGGGCGATCGATCCGGTTCGGTTCGAGTAACACGTGCGACGTACAGCGCCGGCGGCGTCACCTCGCACCCTCGTCTCTCTTTTTTCAGGACCTTCGCCGAATGCACGTACATACACCCCTGGGATCTCCGTATCTTTCGACACGCACCTATCGGTCGCGATCGTCGAGAGGGTGCACCTAGATAGGAGATACGCGCTTTTTCGTCGCGTGCGCCGGTTCCTCGGCGTCGGGCGAATGTCTTCACCGTAACGGTAACGGCGCACGCAAATGCGTCCCTATTTCTAATATGTGTCACGAGGACAACGGCTTTCACACGCACATGTACGTTATCTTTTCGTCACCGTGATTTTGCATCGCGGATTTTGGACAAAAGCAATAAGATCCGCGAAGCGTTTTTTCGATCATCGAACGCGCCCGCGGTTGATCGTACCGGTATGTTCGCGCACGTTCACGATGTAGTTGACGTTTCTCTGATTAACGGCACCTCGCTGTAACAACACGTCGCATCATTCCGAATCACGAGAATCTGCTCTACCACCGCGTGTACGCGGCGTTCAGTCTCTCCCTTTCTCGGGAATGAAATTTTTATTGACACGTGCGCGAACACGGGTCGATCCCACGGCGATCCTCCGCGTGCGCGTTTCTGTCCCGCTCTCGCGCGTCCATTCCCGTCGACGTCGTCCACCAGGAAAGACGGGCTAGACGATGGTACCAGACAGTACCAAAACGGACGATAAGTCTGCGACCGGCCGGTCCTCCCGTTGCGACGTCGATCTTTCCCCGCTTCGCACTCGTGCGCGTACTCGTGGAAATGCCGTTCTCGCTGTCACCGTCGTCGCCGATGTTATCGTCGTTTTTTCGTCGTTGTCCACCTCCTTTTCGTCGCGAATACGTAAAAAATCTTCCCCTCCGACGTCGACGCACGAACCGTGCTTACGGGAATGTGCGTGAGGTCAGGGTGGCATGATTACGACTATCAGTCTCGCAGTGCGCCGCCGCCGTCATTGGTCGCATCGCCACCTCCGTCGCCTTCACCGCCGACGCCGCTGTTGTTGGTCACGCCGTCGCGATGACGGTAGCGTCGAGACGCTTGGCGTCGTCGTGCCGACGGTGAAACCTGCATACACACCGTATCGTTACGCCCTGGTGCGGCGGTCGGACGAGCACGATCGACGAGTTTTCCGTTACAGTCAACTGGTAATCTGTTTCCTTGTGATTACATTGATTGTGCTTATCCTATAATAAATAAATATAATAAAAAATATAAGATATGTATATGTAATATTTTTCTAAGTATGTTGATTGTCGTATATTTCTCGCGTTTTTATATCATTCAATTCTGTGACTAAATTTGACATAATAATTGTTACTTTATACTTATATTATATATGTCTACGGTATATAACAATTTTTATTTAAAAAAATGTATTCTAATTTTGTTTCAAATTATTTTGTAACATACCATAAAATGATATGATAAAAATTTCTTTTACCGGAATTGAGTAAAAAATCATTTCGTCAAATTTCTAGAAATGTTTCGATCAATCTTCATTTACTGCTAATAACTTACTTTTAAACTTGATGGCAATACATTTCGTTGAATTTTCCGTTATATCGACAGCTGGTCAAAACACAATCTACGTGTATCTCCTTTCATTTATGAATTAAAGATGTTTGTCTATATAAAATATATCAGCTAAAACTATTAGTTAAATAATCAGCTAAAAATAGTCAATATCATAAAAAAATTTTTGACAATATTAATCCATGAATTCCAATTGCAAGAAACAAAACAACAAATAGTTTGGCTTATAGTAGTTTTATGCAGTAAAATGATAATATTTTCTTGCAGTTTTATAGGTTAATAAATTTTAAATCAGTAAAGCTCAGTTTTACGGTTATAACGCTTAACCGAGGTTCAACTTATTTCTCATCTCTTTCCAATTCTAGCATTAGAAAGAGATGAAGAATAAGTTAAACCTCGGTTAAGGGGATGTTGGAACCGCCTGTATTACCAATAAAACTAGCGTTTTTGATGTTTTTGTTCCTGTCGAATTTCTTCGTAATGAATAATAAGATTGAAAGACCGCTAATGTTAAACATAATAATTTTAAATTAAGAAGCGCCATAACGGTCAGAACGTTAAGATGTTGAACTTTGATTGCGTTGAAAGTCCGACAACCATATCGGCACGCAATTATCATTTCTGAAATTAATTCATTTAAATGAATTTACAATAGTTCTTCGTAATGGTTTCATAGAATAAAAAAAAAATTTCTTTTTCACGATTAAAATGTACACGCTAATGTATTTGTCGCTGTATTTTGTGTTCAAAGCTAGAAAAAATAAAAAAATACAAATTTCTTTATTCATTTTACCTTCAGCGTTGATCGCCATACTGAGATAAAAATGGATAAAGAAATCTATAATTTTTTATTTTTTCCAGCTTTGTGAACGCAAAATACACCAACGACAAATATATTAATGTGTACATTTTAATCGTGGAAAAGGAATATTTTTTTATTTCGCGAAACCACTACGAAGAAATTCGACAGGAACAAAAACGTCAAAAATGCTAGTTTTATCAGTAATACAGACGGCTCCAGCATCCCCTTAGTGGATCTAAATAAACTTTTATATGAATATTTATTATTTTTTTTTTGTTTTATTAATATAGTATATAAAATTTGATTTAATCACGATAGTGTCTCCCACGAAGTATACGCACCCGTACCGATTCTCAATATTATTACTTCAACATTAAATTATGATTTTATCATAATTTAAGATAAGAATCAAGAAAACAATATTAAATAACTTTTAAACTAATAATAAGAGAATTGTGCTGAAATTTTACATATATACTCAAACATAATAATAGAACAATTTGTAAAAGTTTTTACATTTTTAGATAATATTTTGAAAATAGGTACTAAATAAATTCATTGCAAATTTAAAATCTTTATAACTTTGGATTGCTTCAATGAATTGACTCTAGGTTTTGTCAAAAGTCTCCGAACATATGTAAGAGCAATCTGTAAAATTTTGATTAAATTTCTAATATTTTAAAAAAATAGATATTAAATAGCCTTAAAATTGCTGTAATATGAAAAATAAAAAATAAGAATTTTATTCAAGAATAATATCTTATCATTTTTTATGATTATTCACACAAATTTATATTTATTTCATAATTATTTATATTTAAAAACTACATGAGTTTATTTACAAAATTATCGTTAACAATTTAATCAATTTTGAAAATTAAAATATCTTTTTTTATGTAAATAAAAAGAAACTATGGAGTAAAAAAAGTCATTAAACTTTCAATTAAATTTCAAAGCTTTTAAAAAAAAATAGAAAGATAATTTCAGTTTAATATTTAACTATATTTCTTTCTTAATTTAAACGATGTTGTAAAATCTGTTATCTGAGTCTCTAGTGAAGAAAAATCTGATGAAAGTTTCAATGAAGATGGAAGTATAAATTATACATTTGTTTTTTTTAAACAAATGTAAAGTTTACATTTGACTTTAAACGATTTCTCACGTCATTGATAATTATTCTTTATTTTACATAGATAAGAAATGTAATCAAATAATTATCAAGACGTAGTAATATAAAATGTATATAGTAATCACAAGAATAAAACACGCTGTGTAATAAATTGCGCACGTGCGTAATAAGTATAAAAGATATTATATAAATGTTTTTGTTCAACTTAAATATTTTATTATTTTAATGATGAATATTTTACGTATATAGATATATGATATAAATAACGTTTTTTTTCTTTAAATATTATGCTCGACCAAAGAATTCTAGCATTATAAAATATATTATATAAAACATATTATAAATAAATTATGAAACATAGAAAAATATGTAATTCAAGAATATATGTATATATATATATGTATAAGATATTATGTATATATAATTAATTTTTGAGATAAAGCTACGAGTTTCTCGATGAAGAACGATGAAGGTCAATATAAACGTCTATATAACACTGATAAACGCAGCACATGACATCATGACATTATAATCATTTTGACATTTACAAGTAAACATCGAAAGATATTGGTTGATACAATCCCGTCGTAGTTAATATTCCAACATTATCGCAAAAGAAGAATACGGCTCTTAGTCACTTTTTTCGCAATGATTTGTCAAAATTGTAACACATGTCAAACGAGTTAGTGTTTATCATCATTGGATGAAATAAAAATAAACTAGCAAATAAAATCGTGGATCAACGCTTTCATGTGATAAAGAGTTTTATAAGAGTATCGCGATATCGCGATGTGCTGACGCTTCTCTTTCTCTGAGTTACGAATAGTGCGAACAATTACAAATAGTGCTGTCACATTGTTTAAAGTTCCTACAGGAAATTATTACATTTGGCCGAAAGGAGAATCAGAATATCAATTTTACAAGTCCATAAGATTCACGACTCTAATACGTGGTAGGCCCATCAACAATAGAGTTCCATTAATTTTTTAATTTTTTTTACGCTTCTTATCTTTGACTCTTATTAGCTGGAATTCTTTAATTAAGAAGAAGAGGGAACTTTTTATTTGAGCTTGGATGATTTATATGCAGATTGCGATCAGTACTTAAGCAAACACGATCGACTACCACGGGAGTATGTTACCAACAAAATATCTCGGAGTGTGCACGCATTAGGTTTCAACCAGTAATAGAATTACTCTCCTTTCTCGGAGGAATTGATTTCTGTCTCAGTGTTACATACGATGTCCCTTGACAGACATCAGCAGAAACGCTCGTTGTCGTAGGTGAATTTAACGTGTGACAAATCCATTTTCCGAATATATCGTTACCGAGATTATTTAAATGATTGCCGTAAACTGTCGCGCGACTTGTGTGTGACCTGTATACGTAGATTACCCGTTTATTTCCACAATCGATATTCCCAGTGTTTCCGCGCTCATATTTTTCAGCTGTCACTAGTCATTTTTGTAAAATGATGTACTCTCAACGGTGCAGTTGTTCACAATTTTTCACTACTGCAAATATTGCTTTAACATAACGCTGCGCCGTCACCCTCTGTCGATTGAAACGCAATCAATAATCGTTTATTGTATTTTTGGATATATAAATATGAACAGAAACAGATGCATTTAGTCATAGAATACAAAGAAAAATATGAAACAAAAAATGAATGTTTTATTTAAACATTCCTTTCTATTGTTTTGTTTACAACGTAGTATTATATCTGATGTTTGAGCAGAACATTTATTTTTAATTAATTTTTATTAAATTTTTTTTATTTATTTAATTTTCAGTCAATTAAAAAAATTTTTATTGTAAATTTAGATGTTTAATTCACCAAATAACTTGTATAAATGTATTATAATAAAAAAATATTTGTGCGTGCACACACACACCTATGGAGTTAAAAAACATGTTTGTAATACTATAAATGATATTTACAACAATATCATAATTAAATTTTGTTTAAATTTATTTAAAGAAAATCTATTTGTATTGCAGAACGAGCGCTTCCAGAAGGCGTAGTAGCATGGATCTCATGAACTTGACTCTCGGTTCTCTCAAATTGGGAGACGTGAAACCATCGAGGGAGAACTTCTTGCAAGTCGAGCGTGACAGTGTCACAGAGAGAAACGATACCATTGGAGAGCGAAGATGCAGGCTGAAGGAAAAGTCGCGCGATGAGCTCCGGATAATCAATTTGGCCGAGGTTGGCTGGCACGACACTCCTGACGACTGCTGGCTCGTGATCTACGATTACGTATACGATTGTACGGAATTCTTGAACGGTCATCCAGGCGGCCAGGATATTCTCCTAGAATATGCCGGACGAGATGCGACGTTGGCGTTCATTTCAACTGGTCACTCCGCCGTCGCTAATGCAACCTTAGAAAGATACAAAATTGGTGAGCTTCCACCGAAAGAAAGACTTTTCCGCACTTCCAACGGTCTGAAGATCTCGGGATTTTAATCTGTTCAGATCATCAAAGATCGTCGTCATCATCATCGTGACGCACATCGAAAAATATCAAATTTTATATGAAAAATAGAAACCGGCATATCAAACACTTTTTCGAAATATTAAGATTAGTTATTTAACTTTTTTGAAAAGTATACTTGCTAAATTTATACAGAAAATTCTACAGGAAGTTAGTTATATTTGAAATATTGCCGTTGCTTCATAAACAGCATTTCCTTTTTCTCGAGTTAGTCTTCTTTTTTCCAAGTTTTCTCATTTGATTTTATTTTAATTGATAACATTAATTCTGTAGATTTAATTATATTTCGTTTGCAGTGTTGTAGTTGAAAAAATGAGTTAAATAACTTATTGTAATGTGCCGCCTATTTTTATATAATAATTTTTTTGCTTTTCGACTTTCTACAACTGATCTTATCGTATATTATCAATAGCAAAAGATACTTTTAAATAATCAAACTTAGACTGAATCTATGTAACGCATAAAGTGTTATATCTAGGATTTTAAACAGAAAAGAGAAAATGATTATATATCGATGTGATTTTTGTTCGTTTGTAACAAATCATAACAATAGTGATTTTTTTCAGTATTTAAAAACTCGATACAATCATTGCAATAATGCAAGCTACGTTATACATTAACTTGGTAACGTTAAGCGATATAAATTAGCTTTACTGTTTCTCTGTTTTTATTTATTACATCTACAATAGCGATCAGATTGCGTAGTTTCAAATTTCTTTCTCTTGTTTCGCGTGCGCGTGCCAGAGTTCTTCCTAGAATGTAAAAAGAATAGAATCATTGGATAATGTGACGAAAATGTATAGTTAATATTGAGCAACGTGTTATCGTCCGTCTATCACAGCTAAAAAATAGTTTGTGCGTCATTTTGTTTTTGAATTGAAGAGAATAAATACGCAACGATAACGAGTTAATTTTCATTCAGTTAAATGGGCCACGAACATAATTAATCACATTTCTGCAATTAATCTTCGTGAGTAATTACTTGCAATAAGATTTGACAACTTCAAGTTATTATCGTAAATTAATCAGACGATGTTAATTTCGTAACTTAACGTGACCGATTATATATGTATATATTAGGCAAGATATTTGAAGAAAGATTTTTTGGTATCTGGACAAATATCACATTTTTCATGGAAAGTTATTTCATTATTACTGAAGATAATGAAATTCTTTCTCTTTTTCCCTCTGTCATGTATTTCGAAATAGCTACATTTCTCAAAAAACTTTCTATATCTTCATTCGATAAGATAAATCAAATAGAGGGCCGGTGAAATAATAATCAGTGCTCAGAGAATAGAGAATACTTTACACACTGGATACATTTTATATATTTCTTAATCCTCTAACACACATTTATAATATACATAACATACAGTATGAGGTAATATAGCGATGTAGCTCATTCGTAATATAATATGTTGTCGATAGACCGATATAATAAACTCTTCGTTTCCGTTAGTCGGAAGGCAATTCTGCTCGTTTATTAAATTAGCAATTCAGTTATTAAATTAGTATACTCAGTTTATGCGTTAACTCTGTATTTATCTAAAATTACACACATAACAGTACTCTTTAAGATATTTACACTTAACCACAAAATGTACATACATATAAAATATATAATACGTTTCGTATGTATATGCGTGTATGTGTGCATGTGTTTATGTGTGCACATGCATGTGTTTAAGATAAAATAAAAAAAGGAGAAAAGAGATAAGTTTTATTAATGTGATTAGTATCATTCTGTCCCATGGCGAGCGTCACTCCTTAGTTTTGCATGTCTTAACATCTCGCCGATAGAAAAACGTTACAAAACCGATGGAAAAATTTCGATATAACGAGAATCTTCCCATACCTTAAATAGATTTTATGTTACATGCGGTGAGTTGCGATACGAAATATGCGATAATCTATACACATCCCTCTCTTTAACTTTATACTATATAACTGAGTAACTAATTTTGCTCTCCATTCGATTTTTAACATTAAGATAGTTTGTTCATAATACACAAGATTCCCTCATAATACATTTAATTTGAACTTAATAAGTGCATAAATTTCACATGTGACTAAAATTGTATACTTTTTCTATTTTATTACGCCTATGATAGTGATACTAATGCAATACTTGCGCACTTTCATGCATATGTATCGTTACGCTACGCTACGTTGATTAACACCAATTTTACATACTACTTTCTGTTTTGTATGTTGGTAGGACTGTGTATGTCAAATAGCGAATGCCCACAGCATTCACTCATTTATAAATTATCTCTGCTAAATTCTAAATGACAGTTTGAAACTGACAAGGGAAGTTTCACAACTGCCCGGAACCGATTTGATTCTCCATGAAATATGTTGTTAAAAGAGAGAATGAAATATGTTGTTTCACCCCTTAAACATGAGTTAGGGCACGTATAAAAAATACATGTCTCTTAGATTTTCGTGTTTAACAATATATTTCATGGAGAATCAAATCGGTTCCGGGCAGTTGTGAAACTTCCCTTGTGAGTATATAATATACATACACAACAATACACACACACAAACAAAATGAAAATAGCTAACAAGTTTTTTTTACAGTTACTATCGTTATAATTATAAATCACAAAACGCAAATAATACAGTTAAAATCATTTCTATGTATCAGAAATTCTAAAAAAAAATGTTCAAAACAGTAATAATTTATCGTGGAGAAATTACATTCGTATAGAAAAAATTTAATTCGACATTAAAATTAAATTTCTAACTTTTCAATTTATAACATTGAATATCATAATTATTAAATCTCAAATTAAATTTTGTTTACAGCAAAATTTTTCCCCAATTCAACAAAAATAAAATTCTGATATTAATTTTTGCTTTCAGGATTTCATTCCGCAACGCTTTCTATTTTATAATGAGATTGTGAAATGAACTGGATAAATTAGATTTAATATGAATTATAATTCTATAAAAGGAGAGTATATTAAGTCAACATGCGGCTCAATATTTAATTTCCATTCTTTAAAATGATATTCAGCGCGAAAGAGTTTCTTCACGTTTTTTTTTTCTTTTGAAAAACACACAGACTAGAATTGCTGTCCAGCAGAAAAATTCCACAGAGTTTGAAAAATTAAATCTGTGTGGCTTCAATATATGATATTGTTTATATGATCGTTGTTTATACCCGTAGAAACTAAAATTCTATTGTTTGTCCGAAAAGCTAGAAATTTCTCTTTGCTGATCCGGAAAAATGAGAGCGCATTCATTATTCATCGTTGTTCTTTGTGTGACCAAACGAAGCGGATAGCAAAATCGTATATCCGATCTATTGTATCTCAATTGTCTCTGATCGGTTTGGGTCATCAAGTTTCTCCTTCTTTCTTTCTCTCTCTCTCTCTCTCTCTCTCTTTCTTTCTCTCTCTCTCTCTCTCCTTTATAAGCATTCTAAAATAGCGGAACTTGTTCTATGACACATTGTTGAAAATTCTGATTTCCTATACTACAAATACAAAGCTTGCTTTTTCATACTACACTTGCGTGTTCAACAGCCTCGTTGCTTATCGTATTTTTTTCTGGTAAAAGGCTGGAAGATTTATTCGGCGTCAAATATCATCATCGTCTGGAGAATGGAAATTGGATATCAAATTAAGAATCAAAGCTCATCATTTAGCGAGTTTTCTATGAAAAAAAGATCTGAAAAATGCATATTTCTTTATTTGGAATAATTTTCATTAAAACTAAAATTTAACTAATTTATCGCAATCTTCTTATAATTCATATAATAGAAAATGTTGCGAAATAGCTTAATTCCATAATGAATTCTTATTACTTTATTTTAAAAATTATTTTAAATATATATATGTTTATGAACATACATATTATATTTCTTTGCTTTCTTTTGTTAGTTGTCTGTAAAAATTAAATAAAAAATTAACAGATATTTTGATCAGTAATAATTGATTATAAATAGTGAACATATCTAGACACTTAGTATACAGCAATGACTTTAGAAGAAGATCATGCCCACAAAATGGCATATATAAATGTAAAATATATGTGCGTGTTTGAAATGTGTGTATTTGGTGTGAATATATTATATACGTTCTCACTACATTTTGGTTGGTACTACCATTGTGCGGGCATGCCAATTAAAAAGAAAATTAGGCGACGGTTAGAGTCCTTCTAGGGATACCGGCGTACAGAAGTACGTAAAATTGTGATACCGATTGCATTCAAGAAATAATTGTAGAAAATAGATACTTTCAAGTAGATACCGTTTAGAAATACCATTTGATACTTACATATTCACATATACTTATGAGGCAATGATACTTTACTATCAGGAATCAAAACTAATTATGAGGCTTTATTCATTAAATTCATAAGCACCGAGACGCGACATTGCAACAATACTATATCTCGTTGCATACATGAATCGCGAATAGATTAATACGTCATATATCAATCCACGGTCGAGTGATTTCGCAAACGCTTTTTTTTGACACAGCTCAACTACCAAGGAAAACATTCGCGAATGAACTCGATTGTGGATTGATGATAGTATCAACCTTCCTGCAATTTCCTGTTAAAGTGAAGTTATTCGTCCTTTTACATCAGGCTGCAGAGAGCAAATCCTGGCCCAGAATCGAAAGCCGACTGCAGTACCGTGGTTTCCATGCAAAACGCAGCATCCGTATACATAGCCGCAATTCTTTGTTGTTGCGCTCGACTTTCACTCTGCGATCTGCAAACATATTTTAATTTTTCCGATTGAAAAATGTTTCTTGTTGTATAACTAAAAATATTTAAAATAAAAATAGAAAGTTTTAGTGTGCTTCGTGAAATCATGGCAGAAATAGTTAAAATATACAACAAATAGATAGATAGAATAAAATAAATAAATAAATAGATAGAAAAAATTATTCTACTCTTTGAATTATATATAATTTTAATCAAATTAATGATTACACTCTCGAACATTTTTACTCGAGGACAAATGTGTAACACGTTTCAGAGAACTCTTGAAATTATTCTTATCATTTTCCTCTTAATTTGCTCGCGATTAT